AGAGAGAGAAGGAAGGAAGGAAGGAAGGAAGGAAGGAAGGAAGGAAGGAAGGAAGGAAGGAAGGGAGAGAGAAAAGGTTTGCTGGCTGACTAATTATAGTTGGTTGGTTGCCATAAGCTGTGGTTTTTAAAACAAAGTGGCTGAGTTCAAATATGCTAAGCTTTAATCCGCAAAACACAGATTCTGGCTTAGTCACTTTAAGTGAACCAGACTATTTTAAAAATTATGTCAAACAAGAACCATTTTAATGGGAAAGAACAAAAACAATTGTCATTTTAACTGAATTCTGTCTAATGCTGAAAACAGCACGTCCCTGAGGAAGAGAAAAATGTCACAGCCTCTTCCAGAATACTCTATCTATCTAATTTATATAGTCCTCCCATTCTGCATGTTTCCAAGTTTCTTTTTTAAGTCCCTGGGCAGCCAAGAAAAACAATGGATCATCAAACAAATTAATCCAGAGTTCTCACTCCAGGCATAAAGGACCAGGCTCAAATTATCCTACCTCCGACTCAGGATGCGAAGACCCAGCTCTCTGGAGGCGGCTCTGATGCCGGGAAAGGTGGAAGGAACGAGAAGAGGAGGACCAGCAGCACGGGGGATGGACTCAGCTACAGTGGCGATGGGGCACCACTGGGAAACCTGAAGGACCAGACTGGTGACAGATTTTCATGGAAAAATTCTATCTGTGTAGTCACTAAGAGCCAACTTGAAGTCACAGTAAATGAATAAATGAATCAATCAAGACAAAACTTTTCATAAAGTTCTCTTTGTAATCCATTCATTTAAATAAGTCCATTCTCTCTTTTGTGAATTTTTGGTGAGATAGAAAAGGCCTGTTCATAGACATTTTACCCATACTTATATGGAACAACTGGGGGAATCCTCTGGTGTCACAGGTGTGAAAATCAGCCTTTCCCACATTCTCAAAGATATCTATCTAATTAAAATATAACCACCCATAACAAAGCTAGTCACTCTGGGTGGCGCACAGCAGAGCTAACACAATTAACAAATGGTTAATGGGAATGGGAATCTTCCATGCCCAGGACTGCAAGATCCTGCGCAAAACTCATCCAAGAGCATCAGTCTTAGTTGTACGCCTCCCAGAGTCACTACTTATGAGATGGGTGGCTATATAAATTTGACATATAAATAAATAAACAAACAAACAAACCAATCCAGCCTGTGGAACGAGGTTTGATTGTTCACAGAAGCTCATCTCACACTCTCTGTGAATCTGCTAGTGTTTAATGAGTTTATATTTGGTTATAAAAGCTCTCCCACAGTTTGAGCATCCATATGCTTTCTCTCCCATGTGACATTTCTCATGTATTACCAGTGCAGACTTGAGAACACCGTGTTCTTTGCAATATGAAAATAAACTTTACTGTACCCATTTTGGTCTGGTTCTTGATTCTCCAAGTCAAATGGACCCACCTGACAGATCCAAGCTAGCAGCAAAGGGTTTGGAAATCTGTTCAGTCTGGATTTGTCCTTAACGAAAGGATTTTACTTCAACTGTACTTATAAAGTGTTTCAGCATCCATATTCAAACTTTGTCTAGGGGATTTCAGTGTTGGAAAACTATTGAGGGTAATTTCCAGTTTAGTTTAGATCCAGCACACTTCCAGTCCGTCCCTATATCCAAGTCAGAGCAAGCACACGTCATTCAGTTCAGCTAGCAAAAAATATAGCCTGAGGTTTATTTATTAAGCATCAGCAAATATTAAAACAGTTAACTGTCCTTTAACTGGGAGTTGAAGTCCACACATCTTAAAGCCATCAGGGTTGGATTTTATGCAACTGAGAAGGGAGAAAACAGTGTAAGGTTTCTTTAGGTTTTTTTCTCCAATGGTATCCAAAACCAACAATCCATCAAGACTTTTTTTTTCCCCTCGCAAGACCAACTTGAGCCTAAGTAGTAGGAGCAGAAGTATTTTCCATTTTCACATGCACTTATACATAAGCTCAGAGGATGCAAAACAAAAATCACGACGTTAGCAAAATTTGAGAGTTTCTAACTCTCCCCAATTAGGATTCAGTCCGGCAGAAGATCAGACACGAAAGTACCAGCTGAGATT